AGATCAGCAGCCAATTATTAACATAATGACATTACATAATGACCCACTATGGAAGTGTCAGGGAGTCCGACATTCCAAAAGTTATAAACGATCATTTTTAGCTTGAAGGGTAAGTCAAGCCCTGCGCGCTTAAACCGTGATTCGACATTTGATTCTGTACATTTATTGATGGTCTATTGTTTGCCCTTTACAATCAATCTGTCATGCCGAAACGTTGGCAGTTAGAGCAGATAGACACCTTAGCATGTTGTCCATAAAAATAAATCCGATCTCATGGGTTTACTAGCATGTTGTTAGTTATCGATACCGTCACTAAAGAGAAATAATATTTTATCTTTTGATACCGGGGTGATACCTTTTAGGCAGGTCACGGCTCCATGGTATCGAAAGCTTCAATCAAATATCAAAAGAGAATATGTTATTTGTCTTAGCGGCGGTATCGATGACTAACAGCATACTAATAAACCTATAAGATCACTTAGGGTTTATTATTACTTACGTCTACGGATAGTGGCACATCTGCAGGTGTCCGAACAGGCCCAAGTCTATGTTTGGCCCTGTCAAGTAATGCAGTGCGGTTTCCGTCCATGATCTGCAGGTGCTCAAACACTATGAAGCCGTGGCCTGCTTAAATGGTCCTCTAGACGACTAGAAACAAGAGGACGGTGTCATTAAGCATCTTTAATCCAGTATCAAAAGAAGAAGTGCAAAGTTCTTCATAAAACCTCCTGTTTGTACCTTAACTATTAAATGAATTCAACTCGTCTTAAAAAAAGGAATATGATCAATGTAAGTTTCAAACAGCGACTGATTTTAAAAAATCGTTGGCGGATTTTAAGGAAGGCCTACGTTGTTATGATCTAAATCAGGTTTAATTCTCGATTGTGATACTGTTAGTCTTTGTTGTGATTATTTGCCTACTTAGGCCTTACATTTACGTTTGCTTTATTAAGTAAAATTAAAACCAAAATCATCAACTTGAAAATTAAAGGTTCGATAAATGATTAATGCATAAAAGAAACGTTACTTGGAAGCAAGAAACAACTTATTGTAGATGGCTTGTTCCTCTGCCGACATTGTCAGCTCTACAATTTCGTCCTTTTTTGGCGGTAAAGGGACCTAAATTCAGATATTTTCAGCAAATATTGGAAGAAAAGTCACTTAAGAAAAATTATGCCGCTACCGTACAGAGACAAAGCGATGGGTCACAAGTTACTGAAAAAGCAAGTCAACACAACAAGCACAAAATATATTCAAACTGCGGCTAAAACCATAAGGAGAAAAATGGATCACAGATAAGTGGTTGAATGATTCATGGTTCAAAGAACCAAATACAAAAGTTGGTAAAATAGTTAACTGCAACAGCACTAATCTACAAAGGAAGTAGCATCATAAGTGTTAGGCAGCCCTGTGCCATGAAGTATGAGAATGATATGACACGTAAAGTATGACATGAAGAACTTGCTGCACGTGAGCAAAATTAGCATGTCGTATGGGGTTAGTCTTTAAAAAACTATTAAATGGGAAAATAGCCCAATTTGGTGTTGTTTTCGTTCCTGCGAACAGTATCATCCGCCGTTTACATCATCAGAACGACCAGTTTTTCAATGTAAGCTGCATGGTTATGGGGCTGTGACTAGAGCGCTGATGGGGGGGGGGGCACCCTAATTTAAATGCGAATCTGCTTGCGTGCTGCTCATTCACTTGCTGCTCCATCTTCGTCCTTCAATTCCCAAATGAAGTGTTTATGGTTGTATCATTTAAGAATGGTCATTTACGAAACTACGCGTTGTGCCTAATCTACTTGAGTACGAGCGAATTAATTTAAGCACATATTACTTGAGCCAGTGGCGTGTTTTGCGCTAGCCGGTTTACGACGGGAAGTACAGCAACAAATTTTCAGAGATATCACCAAAAAACGCGTCTTAAGAAAAAAAATTTCGTTTGTTATAAACAGACACCACAGTACGTGCAGCAACGAAAGATCTGATACAAATTGTACAAAACAATCATACCAGCGGCTTTCCCGTGACTTTGGAAACATCCTCTTTCGTTCGGCGAAGAATTAAGCTGTTTACCAACGTATTCAGCCGCTGTCGCGCTTGTTCTATAAAAAAAAATCAAATTAAAAAGCCTGTATTTGGAAATTCCGCATTCATATGAATATTAATAGTCATAATTTAGGCAACGCAAATTATCATATGTTGAACTACTAGTCCGTATCTAACATTCTTTGTAAGTCTAGACAGTTTTTAGTTGGCTTTTGCTATCGCCCGCAGCGTATGATATCATCTACAAGCAAAAAATCTCAATACCGATTCCTCTAAAATCTGTGAGGCATGATACAAGACGTTGGTATTTCATCATTCGACAAACCAACAGTGTTACAAACAACAAAAACGTTTTGTGCTGTTTTCAGCATGACAGGATTGAACAAAATTCGAATAGATAAAATATTCAAATAAAAGTATATAAAAGTGCACCGCATAATCTGTCTACATATAGAATTATATCATTATTGTGCAATAGTATTCACAATGGAGCTGTAGCATGGGTTGCATCTAAAAGGAATGAGGCAGTACCACAAATCAACGCAAGCTTATTTTGTAAAGTTTTGCTTAGAAGGGCATTCCCAAAAGAAAAATACATGCTTCTGACATTACTAGGTAAACGATCATCTACACACATACTCTTGCATTCATTTCATATAATGACACACGGACACACCGATAAAATGATTAATAATTACCGGCAACTGCTACTTTGTGAGAGACGTACAAAACGGTGCATTAGTCAGTAAATGAAATCTGATACATTATGCAGTTCAGACATTAAAACGCAAGTGTGGTCTTCCTAAAAGTTTCCCTATGCACCCATGTGCAGGAAGGATTATGTAACGAAATGGAACCTAATATAGTGAAATTCTGTGTATAAAAGTATAACATTCAGTGCACCCTAATAAACTGCGTGGTGAAAACTAAAAGGTGAAATTATCTATAACAATAAATTGTTACGAAATTCGCATAGCATAAGATGCACATTCAAGTTGAATGAGTCGTTAAAACTTAACGGAGTGAAGAAAAGATAACTAATAGGTAGTAATAGCCAAAGTTTCAAATTAAAGACAGGCTCATCCTTTTGCTCATTCATTTTCAAAGCCCACTAATCCTTTTCGGCCGTGGTGCAGTTGCTTCAGCAATCGTTTTAAATGGTCTTTATTCACTGACGAATGGACCTATTCAGTGGCCTGGATTCCAATACGACAATGCTAGGCGTATTATATAATCAAACCTTTTTGTCCGCGACCCACCATTAAGGCGCCTTCCTTCAAGCTTCGTAGAGTTTGACTAGCGAGCAACTCCCTTAGCATCTTTATCACTACTGGCTTCTATCCTAATTAACTTCTTATCAGTACAATATTTTTCATTGGAAGAAATTCCTCAGCGTATCTGTTTAACTTCAACTAAAAATCTCACTAAAGATAAACAAAAAAGCAAATAGAAACCCACTATTACCTGATTTGTTTTCGATCATGGCTCGCCAGAGCCCTATCTGATCAAATGGCTCACAACGGATAAACCTGAAAGCATAATGTTTTCTTCATCTACAAAATCAAGCATGATTCCCGGTGTCTACTTAATAAGGGAGTAGAGGTCTTTTAAGTCGTTATGGACAGGGGTTCCTGTCAAAACCCACCGACTCTGCGCGGGAATACGACAACACGCCTTGGCAGTCTTGGTATTGTGATTTTTAATCGTGTGCCCCTCGTCCAAGATCATCCGTCGCCACGCGATGGTCAACAATACGGAGCACCTTCCGCCACGACTTCTAATTTCATCCGTAGCCGTAGAGATGACTCCCTGAAAATTGAAAGTACTGCAATAAGTGCCAGATAAGATGAGGAGTGAACACCATAAAGAAGATCTACGCATTCAGACGAAAATAATTTTTAAGGCTCATACCGAATTTGCATTCAAATGAAGCTTCCGGTGTTTCAAAAAAGGTAATGACCACCATGCTTGTAAAATATAATCATTTCACATATTAACTGATGACAACAGAATTGACAAAAAGGCTAATCAGCAGAATGCAGTGGCAGAAGACAGTCATGTTTCCTCCTTCGACTAAGTGTGAGTTTCAATTCCGATCTGATCTAAGCTGCCCATTAATTGCCAATTCTCTCGTGCAAGGAATTCACCCTTCCGTACTTCACTTCAACAAGCAATCAAACGCTGACTTGGAACAACGCGAACAGCATGTTTCTGTGGCTATTCGAAAATGTCACACTTATGACAGGCTGTCTGTAACATGCGTTTTACAGGCGACCGGTTTGATCAGTCAGTAAAGCACTGGACTTAGACCCGTTCGGATCACTCACCGTTCCTACTTCTGATGTCAGATGAGTACAATCAGTGAGAAGGAAAGAGACTACACACTATACGTGCCACATAGTGCCTGTCGACTTTCGTTTCAAAAAAATAAGGCACTCCCAATTGAGAGCATGGAATGGAGGTCAGCGCCCACGATTAAATTCATGAAAATAAGTGCTCCACAAACGGTCCAATCATAAAAGCGTAAGGAGAAACAACATTCCAACGACTATAAAATTTCCTCTTTTTCTTTCGCTTAGAGGTGTAATTCAATCTGGCTCCCACAATGCTGACTAGCAGTACAAAGTGTAGGCAATAAATAAAAAATAAATAAAATACACTAATGAGTAGCAGTGCCAACCTTCTTCGATTCGATTTCACCAATTTCGCTACTAACAGTGCCATAGGTAGTCAGAACGACGTCATAAATGGCTAAGCTAAAAACAGACGTATACAAACAGCGTAGGTTCAGCCCTCAGTTCTCTACGGCCAGAAAGACGACACCTACCGCTGACGGCTCTGTTCTCGGTTTGTGCCATGAAACAAGTAAATCCTCAAGAGCTTAGAACCGGTAAACTTTTTGATTTCATTCGCCCACTGTTTAATGATGGACGTTGGACAGACAATCAGCGTAGCTCGAGAACGAATAAGGTTTTCAGTCGCTAAAAATCACAAACTCTTAGCTGATCACCGCTCGAACAACCAATGTAAAACATGAGGCATTAGTCAGGGTACCAGTCAATTTTTGAAAGACAGTTTCAGGCATATCCTTCATCTGCGTGCGCTGATGGAGCATCAGTGCAATCATGGTCAGCGTTTTTCCGAGTCCCATGTCATCAGCTAAAAAACATCAATAATAACAAAACTAAATAAGGCTATTTCTAATTCATGATTAAAGACAACAAGCTACAAGGAAAAAGTAAATCTTTAACGACAAGTTCTCACACTGCATACCAGCATCATCTTTTCAATAAATAAAAATGAAGAAACAATTAAGGGCAATTACTGACAGAATTCGCTGTTTCATTAAGCCTTACGAACGAGTTGGCTAGTTACATTCCAGCAGTCACTGAAATTAAAGGAAAAAGTATATTATTTACACATTCAGCTTCAGTGCAGACTGATTAACAGGCCCATGTTCAGCCGCTCACATAGTCCAGTGTCCCAGATACAAAGAATGGGAAACGATGGCGAATGCTTTATCCTATCATTTCTCAAAGTTAGCAAATGCCCTACAACTAATTACTCTTTCACAACTCAGTCAATGCACTGGAAAACTTATCCCTTTCACGCTGGTGAAACTTTCGATATATATGCTACGCCAAGCGCTGACCAATCCGTAGCATATTTTTTAAGCGGCACAGGATCTTAGTAGAAAACCTAGGATTTCTCTTTAACACCACGTTAGGGTTTCTAAAAAATATGCTTTCAGCAGTTTCTTCACTACAGTTAATTTTTCGTAATTTTGTAGACGTTCTATTTCTGTCCTGTAAATCGGTGGCACCACAAGCAATAAGACTTCTGCTGTACATCATTTATATCGTTGTCTAAAAATATCATTCTCTGCGCGTGGCTGGGTGTGGGGGTGTCGATGCCCGTTAGAATGTTTCTACTTTGTCATAGTATACATATAAAGTCTGAGTCCCGTTGTTCTCGGCACCACAACCAACAAGTTGATTTGGCCCTTATCTTCTTTTATCATGGCGAAGGTTTACCTCCAGTTCTCCTATGAAACTTTCAAACATCTGCAGACGGTCAAGAAATATATTCACTTTGTGCATTGCAAAGACATCATTCAAAAATCTTTGTTAGACTAAAGGTTCCAAAGAACGCCAGCATTTTTGTAACGCGGAAGTTTTAATAAAACAGGCATGAAGCGCATACCAAGTATTCCTCCTGATGGTTTCTGACTCTCGCGCCAGGACACCCAAGTCAGTGCTTGTCTTTGATGCAACATCAACGGTTTGAGCAGACCAGGCGGATCCGCTGTTTCCGCTTCCTCCTGAGGACGTTGCGTTATAGCACTGAAAATGGGGTTTCAAACATAAACGAAAGTTCCCAAACCTTCTAACGCCTCGTTCTCACCTGTACAAGGTGACCAGTGACTCCTTTGTGACCGCTTTTGCGTAGTCCAAACGTTTTTCGTTCATTCGGCCACCGTAAAGACTGTTTTTCACCGGATTAACCGAGAGTGCCTTTTCAAACTGAGAAATCAACGCGTTTTTGACCTGTACATGACTTTTCGTCTTCGTTGCTTCTTCGTTGACCTTCGACTTAACCGCGAGCGTTCCTCAATAGTAAACAGAATAAAAACAATCTATTAAATTCACACTTAAAGTACCTAAGTTTGCGATCTTTTCTTCAAGGTCTATTATTGTTCGACGTAATTTCGCCCCTTTGTCTGGCAAATGTTCCGCAATCGAAACCAAATTCTAAAGATATGAGGTTTTGAGACGTTATGCCCTTACCCTCACCAAATCACCTTCATTTTCTTAAGCTCCGCTTCTAAAGTGCATCGTTGACTTTCGATGGAGCTCTCACCGTCAAGTCCTGATAAACAAAGAAAATTAATTAATAAAAATGAAACGTGGAACAATCAATTTGAGCTTTCCGTAACACAGCGGTATCATACCTCCTGACACGATGTCTGAGCTCCCTGGTCTGACACTCTGTTTTTGGTTAGTCAATGGCAGACTGGGTTTCGAAGCATTGGACCGTATTCCGGTACTTGAAGGAGCAGAGTCCTTAGGTGCCAGAGTCTTATCCGATCTAGCGATCGCCAGCCGTCCATTTCCGCTATCTTCGTTCAAGATTTTAAGCAAATTATCGAATTTTTCTTTAGGCCCCTGAGATTCAGCTGGAGCCGCCTGTTTATCGACCGTCGCGTTCGCAAAGCAACTATATGACTGGGTCTGTTTGTTGTCCACCTGTAATATTTCCGCTTCTCCTTCATCGTCGCTGCTGCTAGAAATAACCCGCACGCTGTCGCCACTTGCTGTTCCCTTCTTCTCGATGCCCGTAGACGAACTGACAGGACTTTCTGGCACCGTATAAATCGACACACTGCTGTCACCGTTTTCCGAGTCAGAGTCGTCAACGTTCGTCACGCTTTTACGCATCATACTGAATTGCTGTTTCGAGAGATCAAACTGTTCAGAGTTTGATGGAAGCCCTGATGTTCTGGTTGCCAGTGTTCGGAAGGAAAGCGCAGAAACGTGTGGTTCGACAGTACCGCCGCCGCCGCGATCAACCATGCTTCTACTGCGGTCAGCGGCACCGAGGGCAGATGATGATTTTGTCATCACAGCACTGTCGTTAGACGAAGATGAAGCTACAGGACAGTAGACGGCTCTTAAAGGCTCTTCATCAGAACTCTCAGATTCAATGATAATAACATTTCGGTTTTTTCGATACGCAATCCTGACCGAAGAATTATCAACCTCCATTATAGAGTCCTGAACGGGAGGCTGCACATCGACATTTTTGCGAACCGGGGTGCTCGTCAAAACTTGAGAGCCGAAACCACGCTTAACGTCCTCTGCGAATTGAAATTCGTCCGACTGATTTGTCATATCATGCGGGACGTGCATCGTTCACTGTTTATGTATAAGTTACCTAAAATAAATTTTGAAACAGGCACATAAATTAAATTTAAAATTCAAACGCTACGAAAAATAGACAAGCCGCTATCAACAATGCCTGCGGGATAACAGAAAAAATAAATAACTAAATTTAAAAAAATTGCAAACAACAGTGGCCAGTCAGGATGGCTGACCGTACGACAACTGAAATACTCTGTTCTCCGATTATGGTGAGAATAAGCCAAGGCATCATGGAGTGCCGATATTACTGCATGACAGAGTAATGGACGAACAGACAGTAACCTCTCGTGGGCCTTACCGATTCATTGAATGTCACAAAGAGTTGGGACATCCCCACGATTCCTCTCACATACTCGTCACTGCTATGTGTACTGTTGCTCCAATCTCCAGTGTGATTGCAACCCAATCCAGGTTTGGTTTTTCAATTTGTCGACAGATGCGGTCCATCTCCGTTGTAATCAATTCGTCCTTGATACCACCCAGCCAAGAATGATTTTGGCAGCCGAGATCCCTTTTCCAGCACAAATTCGACACACTACGAGTCATGACGTTAATTCACATCTTCATTTCATCAGAGGAAAAGTTGTTATTAATCCCTGTTCGATGTATTCCGCTTGTGCTATTTCAAGCCCCCTCGAGTATGTCAGCATTTGTGATCTTATCAGATAGTATGTATCTGAGTATTCTACGCCAAAAACAGCACTGGTTCGTTTCTTGATGTGGGTTTATGCTCTTGCGCCACACATCAGTACTGGTCGAATAGTTGTCAGATATACAGGCAATTAACTGACGTACTGACAAAGTTTTCCACATATTTTGCTGCACAACATGTTGCGAGAGATTCGAACGTTACTGAATCCTGCTTGAACATTTGTTTCATAGATTCCATCAACGGTGATCATCGATCCAATCTCGCAGAACTTTCCGACACACTGTACATCTCCCCCGTAAATCAATGTTCACTATGTTGACATTCTTCACGGCAGAGCGTGCGCCAAAGACTTTGCGCCTCCATTGCTTCAGTTTCCGTCTTTACTTGGGGCCGACTGCATCTATAACCGTCAACGCCATCTTAAGTTCCTAAGTGCTTGTTGCAGCGAACATGACTCACGTCGACGCTGACTAAAAATTAGTTGAAAATTCTGATTTAACGAATTGCTTTGCTTATGCTTGATGTTCTGGATTTAATCTAAGATCATTTCCAACCCCTTCCGTTTAGTGTCAAATTCAGTGTAGTTCAAGAAAAAACGCTCTCAAGCTTTTGTTAAACGGAATTTACTCTATATGGTGGCGTGAATCTACTAGCCACAAACTGAAGTAATAAACAAACTAAAGCTATCAACGATATTTACTCTATATCAGATAGCAAAATGATGTTTTTCACTTGTTTCTGCCCAACAATAAGGAATAATAGTATCGTACTCTTCATTCTATAAGCATCTGCAACACTGATTCTGTTGAAAGACGGTATCCGAAATTTAGTGGCAATGACAGCACTCAGGCACAGAAGTGATGAATTTAATTTGTAAACGAAGTCTTGCATTTGCAAATAATTCGCGGTTTAGTTGACATGGAAACTACCTAGAGTAATAACTCTTCACCCAGAGAAAGAACCGCTTCAATACTGTAAATTCAAATTTAAAGGTTGCACATGAACTCTTAGCGCGGCTGGGAGAAGAATACAGCCATGCCTTGTACATCTAAATGTACATCAAAAAAATACCTAGTTTAAACTAACCGAAGGTTCAGAACATGAACTCCAAAATACAACGTTCATAGAACTTCGTATATCGCGCTTAAACAATGTACAATAAATTGATCCATTCTCTACCGTATTTAATTGTACCTTTTAATCTTCCTCATGAGAACCATCTGCGGAATTGATCATTAAATACTGAAAAACACAATGAATTTGTTTAATGAAATTAACCTGTCTAATAAAATAATTAATATTAATATTTTCTTTCAATATTTATTATATATCTACACACAGTTTATTTTTTTAGCTTAAATTCAAACAGCATAATGCG